TAGGTGATCCAGAAGTCTGTTTTTGAGGCTTGTTTATGTGTCTTCTCATTTCGACGGGAGCGGGTGCTTCTGGCACCCATGCAGCTCACCTTCTCTGCCCTAGGAGCCTGGGATGGTGGTGGGGGAGCTTCCTTCTGGGTGCTGGGACAGGCTGAGCTTCTCTGCCCTAGGAGGCTTCTCTGCCCTAGGAGCCTGGGATGGCAGTGGGGGAGCTTCCTTCCAGGTGCTGGGACTGGCTGAGATTCTCTGCCCTAGGAGCCTGGGATGGAGGCAGGGAGCTTCCTTCCGGGTTCTGAGTCAGAGTAGATATTAAGGAGTAGTGACACAGGAGATGAAATATGAAAATACTACCCAACCTATTAGCTGTATGATACACCAAGATTGTGTTTCCTAAAAATCAAAGAATGAATTCTAGGAACAACCGAAGTTAAGAGTAGGAAAATATTTATTGAGAGGATAGCTCCTGAGAGGCAGGAGGGGACCCAAATGGGTAGCCTGAGACCCCACTTTACAGGGGAGTTTTATAGAGCAATGTGGTTTACAGCTATGATTAACCAATAAGGTTACAAGTATAGTCCTTAGGTAGCAGTGATCCAGTGGGGAAACAAGTCATGTAACAAGGATGTGTGGAAAGAACAAATACTTTTTCTAGGTAATGATGGGCCTGGAGGTCATGGTCACCCAGCAGGGTGACTGATGTCTATCTAGGCTTCATTAGGCCCAGTGTTTGTCTTCTGAGGAATTATGCAGGCCTGGTCATTTCATGTTTATCTTGAGGCCTGGTCTCCAGCAGATGTGTCTCTGGCTGCAGCTGTGAGGTGTTTCATCTTGGTCCTATCTCTCTCGGGGGCTTAGCCCTATCTGAGTGCCTATAATATTTCTATCTGACTTCGCTGGCTATGATGGTATCACTGTTGAGTTTCATCTTGCTCTCTCTCTGATTACTCACTCCAAGAAGCCATGAGCAGTCCAAGGGGCAAGAACCTTTGGTTCCCACCCACAGCCAGCATCAATTCCCTGGGTCTAAAATGGATCATCTGAGAAATGGGTCCCCCAGCCTCAGTCGTTGTCTTTTCTAACACTAGTTATGATCCACAGGAATAGGACCCGCGACCTGAACTCTTTCATATGCCGAAATGTTCTAAAGGTTTTCTAATCCAACCCTTTAGTAAGTTATGGCACCCCAAAAATCCACAACTTCATTCAGGTGAATTTGACAGTGACTCTGTAATGTGGGGGTGGTGGCCAGAGGTCTGCATGAGATAGATACAGAGAGCTAAGGGACTTTTGAAGCCGTAAGTGCAAAACCTCCCAGAATGCATGGTTAGAGATTAAAAGAGCTCCAGGGCCACAAGTTATGGTAGGGTCACAATGCATTGTCTGAAGGAGAGAATGCTCTCGCCTTTGCCCTCCTCCATACTCCTAAATTATATCATCTAAATTAGTCCCAAACTCTTTAACAGACCACCCTGGCCTTCCCCTGTCCCCTGCATGAGTTCCTGGCCAGATGCCCTTCTTTTTCTTTGATCCTTGCTTCCCAGTTCTATCAACAAAAGGCCACAGAGGCTTCAGGTCAGGGCTGTTGTTTGAGACTTCTCATGCTGAGGGGTCTCAGTTAATGGCAACCCCTCTGGACCCCCTTGGAGTATGGATTGAACATTGACCCCAAGTAATCTTTGAGTAATCTTTCATCCATCAAGTATGGCCGTAACAGAGACCTTTGAAAAAGTTCCTGTAGCTTTAGAGTAGACGAAGCAGGGGAATGAAGCAAATGACGTTGGAAACGAGGTCAATCCCATGAACACACGAGGATCCTAAACATGACACTAGGAGCTTTTAGAACAATTTTTTGAAGGGCTGAAGATGTACCTCAGTGGTAGAGTACTTACCACTCTATTTGGCAATAGAAGGTTCTGTGTTCATCCCCAACACTCCAAAGAAATAAAAATAAAAATTTTGAGCCTAAACTTTTAACCTTTAAAGAACCAGATTTTGGTGTAAAAATAAAACCAGGGCTGCAGTGTGGCTCAGCGGTGGACCATGTGCTTAGCATGCACACAGCTCAGGCCCCAGCACTACGCACGAGCAAAAGCTCATCGGTGTGGACAAGGAGAGAAAAGAGAGGGCCCAGGAGACCAGGGAGGAGGTCTGGAGGTCTCTGAAGTTTGCCCCACCTCAGGCTCCCGACAGTGAGCCTGGGGCTGCAAAGGTGGGGAGCGAAGCAGAAGGTGACCTAAGGGGTGGCATTTTCTCAACTCTCAGCAAGGAGCAGGTGTAGGTTTAGGAGGAGCAGGACCTGTGAACGGCCCCCTCTGGAAGGGGAGCTCGGCCCCCAACTCCTCTGGAGCAGCAAGGTTCTGGTTTGCTTGCCCGCATTTACTCTGGTGCATTCTCCATGAGAGGGCGGAGAGGACACACTGGTTCCACGGTGCCGGGATTGACGCAAGGCAGAGGCGAGTGGAGGGAGCAGGCAGGGACTCTGGGAGCAGCCGGCCAGAGGATCTGTGGTCTGCTCTTGGGGACTTGTGCTTTCTTCAGACAGCTCCCTGAGGGGCCAACGGCAGAGGTTGAAATGGTTTTTTTCTTTTTAATTATTTCCAAGGAAGAACTGTGTACGATCCAGTAGCCAAGTGGTGTGATATTTGTCTGTGACTTCATAGAAAACACTGGCACCGAAGTGAGTTAACATTGGAAGAACGTGGATCTAATCCGGAACACACACTCCTGGGGTTGGGAGGCAGCACTTGGACACTTAGATTAAGGCTGGGTTTTACATCCTTCTTTTCTTCCCCTCTGTCTGTTCGACATCAGAGGAGTTTTAAATTCAAATAATAGACACTAACAAATGATTTTTTTAGTTTCCCAGCCTGAGCCGCTTAGTGACTTAGCAAAACCATGCTCAAAATTTTTTAAATTTTAAAACGGGTGGTGGGTGTAACTGGGTTGTGAAGGTTCTGAGTACAGTGCCTGGTACCACTCCCTCAAAATAAGTGAAATAAGGTGTGTTTAAGGTGTGTGGATTGCCTAGATATGTTGTACTAATACTTGCATCCTTAAATAAAGAATAAGAGTATAAAAATAAGAATATAATATAATTCTCTTGTAAGAGATAAGGCTCATTACATTACCCAGCTGGCTCCAAACTCCTTGGTTCAAGCAATCCTCCTGCTTCAGCCTCCTCAATTGCTGGTATGACAGGCTGCACCACCACAGAAAGCTTGCAGAATAATATAATTTTTACATAGTCAGTGCAAGAGTCTGTAGTCTTGGAAGTGGCTCTCAGTCCTTAGAATTCCACTGACCCTGTGGCCAGACATGTACAGAGGATCCCGTCCCCTGGCCCAGCTAGACAGTTAGCTGGATCCTGCAGTCAGAACCTAATGGCTTGCTGCAGACAGACACGGTCACATTAGTCTTGAGTGAACCTTCCATACAGTAAAGATTTAGAGCCTAAAAGAGCCAGGAGCCGGGCGTCACCAGATGAGCGCTGTCCGTCTGCTCATAGCTGCTGGTCAGCACCTGCAGACAGGGCAGATTCCAGCCCGCGTCTTACCTTCACTGTACTGAACACCACCTTGCAGGCAGCTGACTGCGCTGGGGAGATTGCTTCTTTGTCCCTAACCCCTGGAAGCTTCAACTGGCACCCAAGCATAGACCCACCGCTGCGATGGCCCTGTCCGCCTAGGTTTGTCTGTGGACAAGGAATGCGGCTGACACTGGGTGAGGGCTGTTCCCTCCTGCGTGAGAGCACAGGTCACATTTGTGTGATGGGGACTCCAGGAAAGGCATCACTATGCTTCCTGAGGGACGGCCTCTGGCAGGGTGCTGGGCCGGGGTGGCTGTGTCTGTTGAGTGGAACAGAGCAGCAGCAGGGAGGAGGGCTCAGGTGGTGTCCGGCGAGAGGAGGGCCCCGTCCCTGATGCACTGGCTTCCTAAACTTGGGTAAGAACGTTTTGGAGGTGTCTAGAAGTAACTGGGAGAGCTTTGAGAGCTCAGAAGCCCCGAACCCTGCACTTAGAGCCATGAGCTGGCTAAATGTAGAGTAGTATCTTTCATGAGACTGTACAGCGATGCAGGGGAACACTGAGTATTAGCTCTCAGGGGGCCCCACCCACATCAGAGGAGGGGGAAGTTGCTGGTGGAGGAATCGCAGCAGCCGCTTGTCTTCCTAGAGTCAGTGCCCTCCCCTTGTGATATGGGGAGGAAGATTTCCTGTCCCACTTCACCCAGGAAGAAGGGAAGGACGCCTTCTCCTCCCCGGAAGGAGGTCCTGGAACTCTTGAACTGAGAATCTCTGTCTGCGGAAGGACGGAGCCGTCTGTTGGGGCCCATGTTGTGCCAATGCAGGGCTCAACGAGATTTCCTGCATTTGGGGAAGAGGTCAGAGTGCCTGGCTGGGAGGTTTGAGTGGGGAGAGGCCAGGTTCGAGAGAGGAGGATAGGGCTGCTTTATGTTCTCATGCTGAGATCGGCAGTCCCATCTGCAATAGAGGCAAGGAAACTCCAGTGGGCCAGGTCAGACGGGGACATTACTGCCGGGCCAGGAGGGGGCCGTTGGCCTGGTGGTCACAGACCTGGAAGCAGAACAGCTGCATCTCCCGACCAAGTGCTGACCCCAAGAAAGCAAGGCTGCACCCTGGATGCGGGGCCACCCCCTGCCCTGCTGGCTTTTCCGAGCCAGACCTTTGCTGTGCCTGAGGAATGTTGCTGAGCTCCATTAAAGGGCTTGAACTGCTGCCAACTGCCCTCACAATTCACCGTGCACCGCACTGGCAAGGGGCATTTTATATATACCTCAGTCAGTATTTCTGTATTGATGGAAAAAAACCCGAATCCTGAGTTGATCCACTGTAATCACCTGCAAGTGGCGCATTTGCTTTTCCCTGGCTGCCATTCCTCCCCTTGGCTCCAGGGCCCCCCTAATTCGAGGCCCTTAAGCTTCTTCACATCATGGCAAGGATCGCATGTCGCAAGGCCCTGTCATAAAGGAGAGGGTCTGTATTGCGTTTTCCAAGTCTACTTTATTGAATAATTTAGCTCATTAACAAAGGGTAAATAAGGACCATGTTTGTTTTTTAACATAATACATACACATGACTCTCATAGTACATTTTTATGAGGCAAAGAGATACAGCAGAACACACCTACCTTCAGAAATAAAAATACACATGATACATGCACTCACCACTTGTGAATCCACTTTAAGTGCTTATCTGCATGGATAAGCCTGTCAGAAAGACGTACTGGGGTCTACAGGCTGGGCCGACAGCCACATATGTCCGTGTGCAGCTCCTGCACTCCCAGGATGTGGTGTTTTCTGCTCTTTTCGATTGGTATTAGTAACTGAGCTACTAGACTTCATGGAAGGTGAAACTGCCTAGATAAAGACCACTGACCCAAAACATACCTTGCTTAACCAGAGCAAGGACACATGCTGGCTTCTAATTTGAGAAACTGTAGACTTCAAGCTCTGCAAGGAAGCAATCTAAATGCAGGAGGTCAATACTGAATATGTCCAGCACCAGTTTTCCTTTAGGATGGTAAGAGGCTGCCTTTTATAAATAAAATTCTGATCTCAAAGAGCCTTAGTAAGCTGGGCATTGGTGGCATGTGAAGGTAATCCTAGCTACTCTGGAGGCTGAGGCAGGAGGATCACACATTGGAGGCCAGCATGGGCAATTCAGCAAGACCTTACCTCAAAATAAAATAAAAAGGGCTGAGGATGGAAGGGGTGTAGTTCTGTAAGAGAGTGCTTGCCTGACATGTGAGAAGCCCTAGGTTCCAGCATTGAAAAAAAGAAAGGAAGGAAGGGAAGGAGGGTGGGAAAAGAAACCCTTGGGGTAGGGGCTGAGGGTGTGGCTTTGTGGTACAGCATAAACTTAGCATTTGTGAGGTTTTCGGTTCAATCCCAGGCACCCAAAATAAACTAAAGGTCTTAAGAGAAGTTGTCATGATGGAGAAGACAGACTTTACTTTTCACTCACGAAAAAGAGAAGTTAAAAAAAAATTTTAAGAGCAAATGCAAAGTAGGAAGCATTGGAGATACTGAGAAGGAGCCTGGGCCATCACCACCCACGTGGATGGTGGAGTGGCTCGGGGTACAAGGAGCCGAACCAAGCACGACCACTGCCTCCTGCCGGGCCTGCTCCTCCTCTGGCTCACACTTCTACAAATGAATTTTCCAGGAGAGCCCAAACTACATGAGCATAGATGTGCACATTGGCACTCCTCACCCAATGGCTGGGGCAGGGGCAGAGGCAGCCACAGGGATAGAACAAAATAAAGCCAAAAAAGTAATGAAATAAAGAACAGGATTCTCATTTCCTACTCTGCTATCCCTATTTTGATTTTAAAATGAGAAAAAAATGCTACGCTGATTTTCATAATTTAGATGAAAGTAGAAACAACCATACATTTTTTGAAACATACATCAACATTGGGCTGTCATGGTAACAGCCACACCTATTTACTTTTAAGGAGAGAAAGTAAAGCCCTGGTACCCACAGGTATTTGTGACACCCAGTTTTTGACCTGGAAATCTTTGTCCCAACTTAGATCAGACTCAGATGACAATCCCTTCCTTGGTTTTTTATGTAACAAATGGGAGCAGGGCCCTTCTTCTCTCTGATTTTTAACATCAGCATATTCTAGTAAGTACGGTATCTCCTCAACTATGGATGTGGGTATGCATTCTTCTTAAAGATGGGTAGGGTTATTTCTCTCCAGACAGAGGGAAGTGCCACATTAGCACTTAATTTCCTCCATTTGGTAGAAAAACGGGAACTTCCTAGTGAGACGAAGTGAAGCCCCATTGTCCATTAAGAGGGTGGAAGTGAAATCCAGGCTCTCAGATCCTGATGACGTTCTGGAAAAATTGATCACAATAGCCCCAGTCTAGCCAGACTCGCTTCTCTGAGCCCATGCTTGCATCTGCTTTGATTACCCAGCTTTGCAAACCCCTTTTCCCAGCAGAGCAGCAATCTGCCAAGCTACAGGCTCCTGCTGGAGAAGCCCCATGGGCGTGGAGCAGGGACAGGAGGAACACTAGGCTGATAATCCCCCTCCCATGTAACTCTAGACTGTCATCAACTCTGCAACGAGAAGTGTCCTCAGCTCTCCTATAAAAGGCACCCGCTGGCATGAGGATACCTGCCCATCCAAATGTGGAGGTTTAACTACAAATTCAAATGAGATCCCTTCTTTCTAAAGTAGTCTCCTTTCTAAGCCTCAAGAAATAAGAAAGTCACATCCGATAACGACAGCGTCATCAAGTGTATCACTCAGCAAAGAAATCATGCCATATTGCACCTGAGCTGTCCCTTCCGTGTTTGGCAGGGCCTGGAGAAATTTCTCTGCCTCTGTGAATCAGAATGGAGGCTGGATGCAGGCTGCCCATTGGACTGAATGCCAGCTCTCTGTGGTCTAGGAACATTAATGTGAGCACTGCCTTGGATTTTTCCAGACTCGATGAAGAGCATCAGCTAAACATAGCCCAGTAATAGAACCCTTCAGTCACTGGGCTGCTTTGTGTGTATGTGTGTTTCTTTCCCTTTTCTTTTTTTTAAAAATAAAATTAAACATTTGAAACTTAATTGCATAACAGGAATAGAAGAAACCAAACGTGGATAAATGCGTTGGCCAAGGGAAGAAGGAAATGCATCATATTATGAGAGCCGAGGCTGCAGAGGAGCAAGGTCTAGAGCTAGCATGGCTGAAAGCGGCACAGGGCCCTTGCGCATGATAATAGGGACCTGGGCATCAGTTGCCCACGGGCACACTTTAAGGACTCCCTAGGTGGGGTGGGAGAGAAGGGAGAAGAGTGAGTCTGCCTTCGTGACAGAGCCACCATGCTCTCTTATACCCTTCATTGCTGTCACGACAAAGCAGCCTAGATCAATATACAGGCCTGAAAATCAGGGACTTGTGAGAGCATATCTCACACAACAGTAGCTATTTCTTTTTTGCTCTGAGCTGTATTTCCAGCCCTTTTAAAAAAATGCTATCTTAAGACAGGGTCTTGCTAAGTTGCTAAATCGCTCAGTCTGGGCCCAAACATGTGATCCTCTTGTCTCAGCTTCCCAGACTGCTGGGACCACAGCCATTGGCCACATCCTGCTAACACAGCAGTATTTGGAAATGGAAACTGAGGAACGTCCCGGGGCTGAGTGGGGAGCGTGGTGTGCAGTGTGCAGGACTCCTGGGAGGCTCTGCATCATTCCTTCTTCATGAGGAAATGACACACGTTTTGCTCTATACAGCTCGGTGCCTTTCTATGCCCCAGATGCCACCCACAGAAGCACTCCTGCCCCTTATTAAATACCTGTCAGGAAATGGCTGGAGCATTCAGGAATAAGAAGCTCCCAACTGGAAATCGCTGTTGTGCTCAAAGGGCACGAGAGCTGAGGCAGGGGCCTTTGCCTTTGGGGTCTGACTGCTATTTCTGCACAAGCCTCCAAGTCACAGGGGCTGCATAGGTGCAGTTATTGGTCTCTGAGTCTACGGACGGCCCGTCAGATGGGAGCAGGAAGCTCGTCATGAAAGCGCGTGACTAATCTGAAAGCAGAACCAGCTACTTGGAAGAAACTGATGGGCTTGGGGAAGGCTTCAGAGTAAACGGAAGAGACAACCTCTGATGCCTGTTGCCTTGGCATTCAAAGAAGGCATGCATTCCAGCAAGCAGATTATTTACCCATTGAGTTCACCTGATTTCAGCCCAAATCAAGAAGGGTTCAAGGGCGTGCGTGCCAAACTGAGGATTTTCCTAGAGATACAATCACCCCTTTAAGAGACACAGTTTAATAACTGGGAGCCACTTTCTGCCTCTGAATGCATCCTCCAGGTTCTTAAATCTCAACTCTGATTGTGCTAGTAATTCGAGAAATAGCAGACATAATGTACCCCTGCCCCAGTGACTAACATCCAAAAATTTAAAAAAACAAAAATTAAAAAAATAAGGAGGCAGGGAAACATCTCCCCACCATGCAGTACGTGGGAGTGAGGTCTGCCTGCACCCCAGGGATGGCACCGGCCCTCCCAGCTCAAGTTCAAGGGCTCCCCCGCTACGGCCAGCTGCCAGTCATCCCAGGGGTCAAGTCATCTGAACTGCTGATATTTCCAAAAGTCTTCTCAAAGCAGCAGCAACCACAGCAGCTTTCCTGCAAAGCAAACAAACTATGAATCTTGTTAATTCAGCAGGACTTCTAAAATTGTAATTAGCTGGTTGTGTCCCTGAGGAAAACCACAGATGACTTTTCTATAACATATGTATGTATGGGCCGGGCAGGGGGTGTTTCTTGACAGATTCAGCTGCTTTCCAGCCTTGGGTTTTTTCTTTCTCTTTTTAGTTTATGGGAGACATTTTAGCACCACTCGCTAGTGAGGGACAAGGCCTCTTTGTTTCATCTGGAGCTGACTTCTGAGCTGTCACCACAGCCCATGGTCAGCTGGATCCTAGCATCAAAGTGAGAATACGGGGATCGCAGTGAATATAGCCTTCTCTTGGGATCCCGGGGGCCGGTGCCGGGACCCCACAGATGCCAGGATCCGCAGGTGCTCGCATCCCTTATATAAAATGCCACAGTGTTGGCAAAGAAGCTATGCCGATCCTCCTACATACTTTAAATCACCTCTAGATTTCATGTAACACCTAATACGGCGTAAACACTATCTATGCAAACAGTCATCATTCTGTTTAGTAAGGGAATGACAAGAATGAAGGCTGTACGTATTTAGCACAGATGCCATTTTTTAGCTAAATATTTCCAATCTACAGTTGGTTGGATCTGAAGATAGGAACTTGCGGATACCAGGGCAGACTGTATTTCCATTTGCTCCATGAACACTGCTAACCTGGAACCACTCTGCTTCCTGGCCTGAATCCTTCCAATGGGACTCATGGTATACCCTAAATGTAGGCCTTATAGGCTGGCAAAAGTTGCAAAGGAGGGAGCAATGAACCAAGTGCCACCAGGTTGATTTTTGTAGTGTTTCCCTGATGCATTGAGAAACCTCTAGCAAACTGAAGGAGATTTATATCCCTTAATTGACACTGTGGATTATGCCTTATTCATAGGCCCTGGAGCACTGTCTTTTTCCACAGGAATAATTGTCAACCACCAGATTCTTAAAATCAATATTATCTCAAATTTGGTTTCACTTATAATGCATCTCGCCAAAAAACCTCATCTCACACTGGCAAGGAATAGCATCGTGAAGAATAATTTTTTTTAACTTTTCAAATAAATTTGCTCCCAGAATTAATATCTTACATTTAAATTTTAATTAAAAGTTAAAAAGTAGAGTTTTGGAGTGTAGCTCAGGGGAGCCCAGCATACGTGAGGCCCTGGGTTCCATCCCCAGCACCACCGAAAAATAAAAGAGAAAGTAGGTGAACTAGGGACCGGCTGGATCCTATGGATCTGTAGTGATTCCTCCTTGGCGGGCAGAGAGACCCAGAGGAACTTCTGTGACCCAACCACAGGGGAACCTGGAAGAGGAAGGCAGGAGACCCATGTGACTCCCAGAGGCCACCCTGAGTCCAGAGCAGTCCCACCCTGCAGGTCCTGCAGAGGCTGCATCTGACTGTGCCAGGGCCACTCCAGCGCTTCTGACTTGCGCTCTGAATAACCATCATGACCGGGGTTGCTGCTCTCTCCCTTCTCCTTGAGTCCAGAGTGCCAGCCTTGGTGGAGAAGGATGCTACCTCTTCCATCCACCATTTCCTCCCCATTCTTTCCCTGCCGGACCCTGGCGAGAGCCCCGCCTTGGAATGCACCCCCTGTCACCCAGCGAATGCTTCCCACCAGACCTCAAAAGCGACTCCAGCACTTCTGGTGGGAAGGTGGTTTGTGGCAAACCTTCAGGGTTTGTGGTGGCTGGGGACAAAACTGCTTCTGGGGGAAAGGGTTAGAGGAGGGAGAGAGGAAGAACAGACAGGATCCTGGCTGCTTTGGGCCCTGGGAACTCAGGGTTCACCGTAAAGGAATCCACTGAGTGCAGTAACCCATGCCCCGGGGACATCAGGGTCTTTGGAACAAAATAACCCCCTCCATATTCCATAACTTTATCACCCTTGTTATTGTTAATGAGCAAGAACAGTCCTTGTAAATATAAAGCACCAGCCTCCCCATTGACTGTTCTCACAAGACCATCTGCAGTCTGACAGAGAACTCCAGCCTAGAAAAATGTCGATCAGAATAAGGGATTAAGACCAGTGAGGGCTGAGGGAGTAGCTCAGTAGTAGAGTACTTGCATAGTGCAGAACACTCTGAGTTCAGTACCCAGAACTGCAAAAAGGGGGTGGTGGTGAGGAATTAAGACCGGTGGGGAGCAAGAACATAGATTTATACATCATAAATGCTATGCAGTTATTAAAATTTAGCCAAAAATGGCTATGAACTTACTGCCCAAGTTTAGGGAGCTGGGGGTCTTACAGCCCCCTTATGAGGACATAAATGTTGGATTTCTAAAAGTCCTTCATTAGTGTACTGCTACTTCTATAATCTTAACCTTTACGGTATAGCTGGAGCTCGATTACTGATATGAATGAAAGCATTCACATGTAAAACTATCCCTTAGCAATTCCAACACACTCCATGAGAGAGGCACGCAGCTTACATCTAAGTTTGTATGCAGTGGTGTTCCTGGGAGTCAGGCAGCTGGGCCGAGGCAGCTCGAAGGGGAAAAAGGAAATCTGGTTTTAGCTTCCCAGACAGCAGAGAGGCCCACACTCTGCCATTCCCTCCCTGCGTGGCTCTAAGTGAGTTATTTAGTTTCTGAGTCCTGAGACTTGGTTTCCCCACCTACATACAATTGTAAGGACTACCGGAGACAGTTTCTGGTCAGAGACTGGAACCTACTATGCTAATTACTGGGTGTTCCTCCCACTTTCCAGGCCCTGGCCTCAAGCTGATTTAGATGATTTTCTAGGGCCACTCAAGGAGCTTTGCAGTGAGACTACCCCACCCCGCATTGTAGGCAACAGCTCTTCCTCCACTAGGCAGAGCCAGGGTGCAACACAGCAACCTGAATTTGGGCCCCACCCCAGGGGAAATGCTGCCCTGCTTCCCGCAATGTCTGTGCAAAACCACCTGAAGTCATCTCATTTCTCATTTCTCTTGCTGACGAGCGGTACACATGCCTGTTCAGGAAACTACCTGCAGTCAGGGGAGCACATTTTCAAGACTGTTTGAATCTGTGATTTCCCAGATTACAATCCTAATTATCCCCCAAATACATGGAATTTTCTTTCTTCTCGGGGAAAAAAAAAGATCTGATACCAACCTTTTAAAGGGGCGCCTTCCATGGGCTATTTGGTCACAAGATTATGAGCATCAGAGCTACAGTTCTTCTAGGGAAACCAGGAGATATGTGGGCAAGGATTAGAACAGTTTCATCAGTTCCGAACTTACGAACACAAGAAGAGTCAATGATTTGCTACTTAGTCAAAATGCTCTTCAAGAGATATTCTTGAAGTCTAAAACGCTGCTGACCCAGGGCAGAAACACTTCCACCCTCCCCACCCAGCTGCAGCTCATCTGGCTTTCCTTTCCCCAGCACCAGCACCAGCATCACTTCCGCTGCCCTCCCCTTCGCCCCCGGGCCAACAGTCTCAGGCCCTAGTCGCACTTAGTTTGTACATGTGCGTCCTATCAAAACCCACTGTGATCGAGCACAGGAGCCAATATTTGTGATTGTCAGGCTGCAATGACTGCAAGGATGAGTCAGACCCAGGATGGCTCCTTCCAAAAGCATTCCAGTCTAGTAGTAGACAGGGTGATGTAAGGGCAACCGAGAGAGTCAAAAAGGAAAGAAGACGAAAAAGGACCTTCAGTTTGGGGATCGAGAAAAGCCATGGTAAAAGAAGTCGGCCTTTAACACTGGCCTTACTTGGTGGGATCTGGGGTAAAGCTGCTTTTGGTGGGGACATTACTGGGGACACAAAAAGGGCTAAGGACCCCCATGTCACATTGAGCCTAAGAGAGAAGGCAGGGAAATTCAGGACCACAGTTCTAAGTGGGGAAAGTACTGGAGCAAAACTGGCATGCTCAAGTGGTTAAGAACACATGAGCCAATGAAAAGAGATAAAGAGAAGTGCGTAAAATATTTTTAAAATAGAATTCAAATCCACTGGTAAGCATTTGTGGACCAGAATTAATATTCGGCATAAAGGTAAATTCTTATTTTAGATAACATATAAGAACAAAGATTATTCCAAAAATAAATCTTCTGGAAAAATTTAGTCTCCATACAGGCTGAGCATCCCTAACCCAAAACTTAAATTTGAAATACTCCCAAATCAGAAACTTTTGGAGTGCCAACATGACACCAGAGTGGAAAGCTCCATGCCTGACCTCAAGTGACAAGTAAGAATCAAACTGCACATTCACAAAAAAAATATCACTTAAAATTACCTTCAGGCCATGTGTATAAGGTGGATATGAAATACAAATGAATTTCATGCTTAGATTTGTGGCCTATCCTTAACATTTCTCATTATGTATATCCAAACATTTGAAAATCAGAAAAAATCCAAAATCTGAAACACTTCTGGTCCCAAACATTTTGGATAAGTGATACTCAACCTGTTTTTCAGTGAAAAATAAAATATATTGTTTGAATATGGGCTTTCAATAGTACCAAATACGTACAGTACCAGAAAGGTTCTGGAAAAATGACTCAAGCTCCCTTCACCAGGACAGTAATACACCACCAGGTGGCAAAGGTGTGCCCCAAACTCCAGAATTTACCATCTTCCACGTTCTCATCTACATAATGGGCACAATGACAACGTCTGCTACACAGGTTAGGCACAAGGGATACATGAGTTAATTTTTGTAGAACAGTTTGGGCTTGATTGTCACAGCGTCACATAATGATAACTAACTAGACTTATACAAGAGAATTTGGGTTTTCTTAATTGCCAGCATTCTTGAAATATTTATTTATCTCAGGTACCAGGAGCTGTATGGAGTAACCAAAAGGTGATTTTTGTTCTTACATATTTAAAAAATATTTTAAGCTCTCTTTAGGGTGTGTAATGTCATTAATTTTCTGCTGTGGTTTCTATATTGTCCTGACACGTCAAAGTGTATTTGGACACGAATAAGCTTGGATAAAAATATGTTGGTGGAAAATGGGCTCAAAATAAGTTGGTTACCCTAATAAGCAGTTTATGCAGTCTGGACGAGGTACTGGCTAGGTAATAAGTCTATTTTTACTTGGCATCCATACCAATTATCAAGGAAAGGTATATTCAGACACAAATAAAACTCAGTGCTATGCTGAATTTAGAAATAGAGTTAATTTCAATAAAAACTAGATGTGGAAAAACTGAGCACCTGAAGCACAGACATTCCAAGGTTTGTTGGTCAGGAAAAAAGTTCCGTTCCAAACCTAGGGAGTAGGGAGGTTGAGGAGAAAAAGTGAAGGAAATGAAATGTGTTCAGCACACACTATGTGAGGCCCCAGCAGCAGCCACCCTACTGATGTGAATGTCAGACCTGTGCCCCGTGAGCCCGAAGGCATGAATGGCTTGTTGCATTTATGTGCATCCTGCCCAGCTAACCATCTGAAACGTTGAGAACAGTTACTTAAATGGCATGTATCTATATCTGTATTATTTCTCGAATCCACAATTATTTGGATGAAAACAACCTGAGAGAGGCAGAGAAGCCAGTTAGGAAGCTACCATCATAATTCAGGGGACAGAGGTCCCAGGTCAAGACAATCACAGGGACAGAGAGAACTGGGCAGATTCCAGAGGTAATAAGGTACAGAACTGGACATAAATTAAATATGGGATGAGGGGGTAGGGGGAGAAGAAATAAAGGGTTGGCTTGATGCCACTCAATGGCATCTTTCACTGAGAAGACAGTAAAAGAGGAGGTGAGTTGAGGGAGAGGAATGGTTTTGGGTTAGGGCCAAGAAGACCCAAGTGGAAATATCTAGTGCATGGGTAGATATATGAGTCTGAAACTCAGGAAAGAAATCTGCACCAAAGAGTCGCATGAGGGAGTTGTGATGTAAACAATTTGGCAATAAGAATAGAAAGAGATCTCACTGTCTGAAGTTAGTACAGAATATAGGCATCACTGTTATCAACAAAGACTTCAGTCTCTCATCTTTGTAAAAGTCTTCTTCACATATACTTATATGGACATCTGGACCAAATTGAGTATTAGAGTTAAGATTGGTGGTACAGGTCTGTAATACCAGCTGCTTGGGAAATAAAAAGAAGAAATCACAAGTTCAAGGCCAACTTGGGAAACTTAGCAAGATCTCATCTCAAAAGCAAAATTTTTAAAAGGACTAAATATGTAGCTCAGTGGTAAAGCACTTGCCAGGCATGCCATGAGCCCCTGAGTTCAATCCCTAGCACAAAAAAGGAAAAAAAAAGATTTGGTGCCCAGAGCAAAATAAACGAGGTAAGCAGGGAATTTAGAATTCTGAATTGTTTTATGAAACATTTCTCCTGAATGTACATGAGCATGTCTTCCCCAAACTGTAAGTTTTTATACATACATACATACATAACAGGCCACATATGTGTGTATGTGTGTGTGTGTGCATAGTGTTCTGAGTAATAATGGATACAAAGATTTCATAATAAGCATTTATGCTGAAAATTATATTCTATTTAGAAAAATACAAACTGCTCAATAAAATATTTTAAGCAATTTGACATTAGCCCAAGATTTGCAAGCTGTAAGAAAAAGCATCAGAAGAAATCTCATAGAAGATTAAGATGACGTAGCTTCTGATCATCGAAAGACAGGCAGACAGGAGAAGAGGAGGAAAACAAAGAGGTCTTGGTCACCTGTGCCTTGAGTCTGGCATGGAGCTTGTGGTCTGACAACCAGGGGTGCTTGAGAGCTTCATTGGCACTTATTCTCCAACTAAAGGGAAATTCAGAGGATTATTAGTTGAAACACACCCAATGAGGCCTGAAGCTGCAGTTCATCTCTGGTCTGGCCAGCACCTTAGGTAGACCAGATGGCCAAATGCCAAATTCACAGTAAGATCTATCCCCTTTGGAATTGTATGCTATGGATGACAGCATGAGTGGCCATCAGATCAAATCAGGGCAACAACACTGGTAAGACAAGCAAGACAAATGATAAAAATTCTTGTTAATAATTGAACATCTACTTCCAAATACTGTATATGGAGCCTTTCTTATGACACAACATTGAGCCTCCTTCCTGAATTGAACTCCTGACAGTACAAGAATAAATTCATATGTATTATCCAGGGCCGGGGATTTAGCTCAGTGGTTTTGCCACCTGCTGCGCAAGCGCAAGGACCTGAGTTCGATCCCCGGTACCCAAAAAAAAAGAAATCATATGTATTATCCTAAGAAAAAAATGTTACAATGATGCTTGATGATTACAAAAGCAGTTTGTGCATTAAATCTTTTGAATGTGTATTACTAACATTTGAATTAAGTTTTGAAGAGTTTACAATAGAGAATTGGAGTTAATATACTTAAGAGAGAATGCATTAGACTTCTTTATGAAGAAACTACATCCTTTTGGAGCTAAGAATGATTTATACAATTTGGGAAAGTAATATGGGGAAGAATAATAAAGACTATATTATATTCTACTTCTAAGCCATGTAAACTTGCTTGCTGTGCTGTATCTATCACATTAAGATAACAAGTCAAAACAAAAACTGAGTGTAACAATCTGAAATCTGCTTCTGGTCAATATCAAGTAGCTTTCAGCAGTCACAAAGCTTCAGTTTATAGAACTGCTTCAATACGATTGCTTCATCAGATACCAAACCTTTAAGTGTAAGACTCAAAGAGGAGGTACGCTGTACTTTCAGTGATTGTGTTGATATCATCACCGTACAAAGCCCTAAACAGGCAGCAGTTATTAATTTTTTAAAAACTTCACTTCCACCAGCCTCAGATGGAAATGCAATCCTGATCAGTGCCATGAATTTTCAGGACTAGATCCCCAGAGCATTCCAATAGCTGACAGTGCTGAAAATATACCTGCTACTGCTCTAAAATTAAAGTTTTAACGTCTGACAACTAGAGGGTAACAAGAACACTGTACTCATAACTGGACTCTAAATAACATTTAGGTTTATTTTTGTACCCTGGAAATTTATTCTTTGATAATGATATTTGGCTTTGGCCTTAGCTTCATGCAAATATTGGCTTCAAGACTAAGCCAGCTGCCCAGTGTGCTTCTTAGATATTAATGCAGAAGTGGGCAGGGACAGGCAGTGTGTCCAGAGTCCTTGCCTCAGAATCTGCTCTCCATAAGCCACGTGACATCACTGCTCTCAGGCTCGGCTGCTCATCTGTGAAAGAGTGGGGATTATTTCCACATATCACAGGATTATGCAGAAGTGAAATAACACATAAAAGCATGTATAATACATATGGCCCCAGATCTCAGTAGACTGGAGGCAGACCAAGCCTCAATCTTGCTTCCAACTTGCACAGCCGTCATAGATGACACAAGGAGGATGGATTCTAATGGGCCTGGTGGTTTGTATGCTTCCTGTTTATCCCTGCTTCTGCCAGAGCATGGGATGAACCTAAGTTACCTCTTCTCCTTAATCAGGAGCTTGGAGATGAACTCCCTGGCTTCATCTGAGATGTCCTGGAATTCTTCATCCTCTAAGTCCCACCTGCATGCCAGAATGTTGCTCAGCGTCTCTGCATCATTGTCACCCAGGAAAGGGGACAAACCACTAAGTCTACAAGACACAAGATCCACAGTGAGTACTTTTAAAATAAGTCTCAAATCCTTTACAGACAGGTTGCTTTTGGGTTCTGTCATTTAAAAGGAGAGGAGGAAAATAACCCAACAAAGAAGCATAAGTGTATAACCTATTATTGCAACCAGAAAAATGCTTTCCTCCCCCATCCCAAGTCCTAATTAGACAACTGTGGCACTGAAGGCTGCAGCTACACTGGAATATGAAACTCAAAAAATAGCACACTTTCCTTGCTCAAGCACTTTTCAGCTGGCAAAATGTTGTCACGTACTCAGGAGGCAAATGCCAAGAACATCACCTCTGAGGAGTGAGGCTAGCATGAGTCATTTAGGAGATCAGTACACAGGTGGGGTTTTTAAAAATTATTTTTAGGGGTTTAGATGATGTTCTAGGAATCAAAGTGGTCTGTGAAGAGGGCATACATTCACTTTTTAAGATGACATGGGGGAAAGAATTTACTCCTTTTATCCACGGGTTCAACAGAACCTAGAAAGCAACTAAGTATGGTATGGTATTTTTTAACAGATCTAAATTGGGGTGTTTATTCAAAATAGCCAAACCCCAAAGAATGGGCACAGATGGAAGACACACGTGTGACAGAGACTGAAGCTGCTTACAGCATGTAGGCAATGACCCCCACACTCCACATGTCTGTAGGGAAGGAAACAAAATCGTAGTTCACAACTTCAGGGGCAAGAAATTCAGGGGTTCCAAAGTTCACCTTCAGCTTCTCCCTGGGCTTGTATCTGCAATTAAGGAGACAAAGTAGAAGGATGGGAAGTGCCAATCGAAAATCAAAAACCATGAATGCTGCGAAGATATGGCCTATGAGACAAACACCTTCAGCTATGCAGTAAGCTTAAAATAAATAGACTTTAAAGGAGCACACATATTTGTGTCAGTGCTGGAAACCTGCAGAGAAGCCCCATAAGTTTCAAGAGTCAAAGTTCACTCTATAAAACCTTAGGAACCTGCAACTGTTATGGAAAAACCCACTCTGAATAATCAGAACATCTGAATTACAGAATATGACAAAAGAAAGCCAACATAGTCCCTGCCACATAGGTGGCCTGAACAAGCCCATGTGCATGAATAAACAGAATGCTGCGATAATTTGCAACCTGTCTCTGAGGCAGGCAACTACGCTGAACTGTGCCTCTGTCCATGTAAACTCTTCGTACCCTTGTGAAGCTTACATGTGCCAGCGCCTTGCAGTCTCACAGTAGCCATTCTCTTCTCAGATGGAACAAACGTAAAAAACAAAGACAAACTCTTCAAATGCTAAATTAATGGCTTCTGACTTAAGAAGCCTCACTGTAGTAGGTGTTTAATTTCTCACATTTTTATTACATGCATTGTGGAAACATCTAAGCACTCAAATCTCCGATTCAGCAAGATAAGACTGAACAGGATTGTTGTTAAATTAATTCTAAACAAGGGAATGGGAAAAAAAGGTTGTGTTAGATTTATCTTTGCCAAGAATGAGCCCTGGTCATGTCCCCTAACTTTGTTCCTACACCTATGTCCAAACACACATACCTTCTGGCCAGTCCAAAATCAATGATTTTTATTTGTTTAGCATCCCGATTCACACACAGGATATTCTCAGGCTGCAGGAGAAAGAGACACATTAGCAATGAAAACAACCATCCTTCACTCAAATTGTTCTTGAACCACAACTAAAAATACAATAATGCTCAGGAAAAACATATCAGGCCTTTCACTAGGGGCTGGCTTTTCTGTGTGGGTATTTTCTCCTCTAATTATGTGGTGGATGAGGCCGTGGGTACCCTGCCAACCTTGCATTACCCAGCCTGTCCCTCTCCCTGGGTTTGCAGTTTACCATAATGCGTGAGTTCAGGCAGAGGCCTCCTTGAGGGAGGACAGAGAATGAGGCTGTTTCAGGACTTCGTTTCATGGCAGAGGCCAGCTCAGGCTTGACATCGCCCCCCTTAAATTATTAAGTATGAATCTCCCTGTCTTGGAGGAATACTTTTCCCAAAGATTTATGAGTTTCAAGAGAAATGGCCTGATTCAGTTAAACAACCACATTGAATGTGCAACATAATGTAAATGTTCCCGACCTTTGCATTTTCCCTTTGAGCTTGGTTTATGGGAAAGTCGCATGTTAAAAGCAGGCTTTTCTCTCCTATTTATCCTTCATCTTCAGAAACTCTAAAGTTTTGGTGAATTTGGTCTCGATGCCTGCAGCCCCTGACTAAGTGTTCCCTTGGAGTTAGACCCTGGTAAGACTTCGCCCCACTAATCTGACAATCTTATAGCAAAGGGGGAGAAAAGCAGATAGTAGCACTAAACTCAGGGTCCCAAAAATGCCTCACAAATGTACCTACTTTGGAGGGCTTGAAGTATCAAGGTCTTGGAAAAATAAAGGGCTTAAAGTCAAGGTCATCCATAGAAGAGAAAGTTTTCAACGAAGAGATAAGAACTCGCAAATTGTAGTTTCAACTCTTCCCTGAGAGCTGGAGGCCTGAGTGAAGTTGCTGAATGCCCAGGATCACATTTCCCCATCTTTCAGCCAGGAGCGTGGCTCCCTCCTACCTCCTGTCTGAGTGGAGCAGAGGTTCAAATGAGATTAGAAACTCAGGACATATTTATAAAATAATGTAGTGTCTCCTCGTCAATATCCAGTAGTCCATTTAGTTGCAATATCTTTGGAAATCCTTTCCTAAAATATATCTAAAACAGATGTCTGTGAGTGAAAGCCATTTTATACTTAAGTGGGTGCTATGTAAGGCAGTTGGTTTCATGCTTAAATAACTAATCAATCATGTATAAAGCTGCTCATTTTCAAAGAATACTGTGGCACCCAAAAATCAGTTTGCAGGAATGTAAAGAAACAGCTCTGAAGGCACTTCCAAAAGTTAATGTTTAGGATTAGGAAATCAGAGAATTTTCACTGAATCAGATTTGTAGAACATAAAAAATATAAAAGAGTCCATTTTTAAGCCACCCCTACCTAGTGACAGACACTCTGAATGTTTTTAGTCCTTTTTCTTCCAAGGAGCTTTCTAAAAAGCTAACCCTTAATGACCAGTCCAGCTGTCACTTTTATTATTATCTTTGCATACAAGCCATCAACAAAATCACACATTGCAAGTCGCCCATCAGTGTTAGGAAGCCACAGATGGAGTAACGTGTCTCATGATAGGTCAGCTCCTGGCTCCAGTTGCCAATCAAATCCCTTTAGAACATTCACGATCAACAAAAGTGGTCAGGGAAAACAGGCACTGTCACACTCAGCTCAGGGCCAAGGAGTTTGCTAACGATTTTTAACCTCTGACGTTGTCATTTTATATTCCACTTCCCCTCCCCTCTTCCTGTAAAACAGCAAATGGGAAAGGCAAGGCACATAAATCATGACAGTGAGGGAAGCGAACTCATAGGAAGAGAGGCTCATGGAAACTTATTTAAGGAGGCTAGATTTATTCAGCTGCACAATCCCTGGTGACTTGCAATAGATGGTATGTTATATGGAATACATACTTTATCTCACTGTCATGCTGTCCAAACAGGGAAATGAGACAATGATGGAGCCACACAAGAAGATGCACTTTATGATGCTCAGCTCCAACACTAGAGTTGAGCAGGGTTCTGGGGGCTCCATCTTCTGCCAGTTTTAACGAGAACTATGCACAGCCTGATTCTTCTCGGGACTTCATCATGGGGGCCTGGCTTCTCTCATGCACTTTCCTCCGTCTCCAGCTTGGTACCCGCCCCATCCTCACTGCTCCTTGGCATCTGAGCCACACCCTCTGCCTGGCCTGCATTCTGTTCTCCGTAGTTTGTCCTCAAAAAAGTCGGCTTTGTCCAGCCAAGCCCCTAAAAAAGTAAATCCCAAAGTCCAGAGCTTTGGGAAAGACTTCTGGGCATTCTTGGAACTCTAGAAGGTTTGACTATAACTAGGGAATTCTGAGTTAGCTAAAACCCTGCCCGGTATATCCTGATGGGAAGGCTGTGACAGGGATATTGTGGTGGTGATGGTGGTTTCAACCCTAAACTTTTATGGAAACCACTTCCTGTGTCAGTGTCTTCACCATGGGCAATTTACAAGAATCTGAGCAATAGCCTCTGAAGGTGGACATGCAAAAAGTAGCCCCTACAGATGGTGAGAAAAGCTGAGAAATAGACAAAAATCCAGATTTTGAGCCAGGCATGGTGGCTCACGCCTGTGATCCCAGCTGAGGCAGGAGGATTGTCACGAGTGTGAGGCCAGCCTGGGCAACATAGGGAGTCCCTGTATCAAAAAACAAACAAAATAAAATAAGAATCTAGATTTTGCCGACATGGGGGAATATGCATGTACTCCCAGCCACTTGGGAGGCTGAGGCAGGAGTATCACCTGAACCTAGGAGTTCAGGGCCAGCCTGGGCAGCATAGAATACAGTTTCCCAAAAAGTCCAGATTGTTGTTAATTCCCAAAAACACAACCAGTGACAGTTCAAACTGCCTCAGCTGGCATATATTATCCAGAGGGCTCACTGACCAACACGGGGAGGGCTTGGGGCAGTTTTACTCGTGGTGGTAGAAAACAGGACCTACCTTTAGGTCCAGGTGGAGGATGTACATCTGATGCATGTGTCTTACACCCTCGCATAGCTGCTTGATGAACAGGATGGTGTCGAGCTCCATCAAGCTGCAGTTCTCATCAATGATGCGGTCGAACAGCTCCCCACCTTCCACACTGCAGAGGGAAGAGGGGTGAAGCGCTCACGGGTTTCCTTGTAGCCAGCTGGTGCTCAAGTTTCTCTGACTCTTCCCAAAGACCCGTGCGTGCGCAGTGCCTTCTCTGCCTTCTGTCCTAACTGGGGCATATACATGACTCTTGCGTTGGGGGTCACACACATACCTTCTTTCACAAAGCAAAATCTCATAGTCTTTTTTATCAGCAGCTACAGCTCTGGGATGAGTCTGCGTGTACCACCCCTTAACACACGTCAGAGTTAAGAGGATTCTAAGGACACGGGAGGGCTCTCCAAACCCCAGCACCGAGCAAGTCCTGGTCTCAACCCTTTAACTCCTTGGACTAATTGGAGTGACAAAGTGCTGACGCTTTATTAGCCAAGATGCTTTATGGCACAATGATAAGCAAAACCAAAATGGAAACAAATGAACTGAATCACAATACCAATTCAGTGCTTGTCAGAACTCATTTTCCTTTTCGTGGTGCTGAGGATCAAACTCAGGACCTCACACATGCTAGGAAAACTCTCTGCTAATGAGCTACATCCTCAGCCCAGAACTAGACATTTTCTAACCAGTCATTAAGTTTTTACAAAGGTGATTCTAAATTGTACCTTGTTAGTCCCAGTCACCAAAGGTGTGACATGAACTTTGTGTTAGTGAATACATCACCTGCTCTTATGCAGAGTTTGCATTACCCACAGGCAACAGTGTTCAGTATATAGATATATATAGATGTCTATATCTCTAATAGATGGAGAAAACATTCATGTAATTTCATTATAGTATGTTGCTATAATTCCTTTATTTTGTTAGGAGTTAATAAGTAATAAATTAAGCCTTAGCATAGGTAGGTATGTATAGAAAAAAAGCACAGCATATAAATGGGGCTTGGTACTATCTCATTTTCAGGCATCCCCTGCGGGTCTTGGAGCCTATTCCCTAAGGATAAAGGAGGACTTCCTTGTGCTGAAAATGAGAGGTAGCTCAAGAGCCACTTTCCTCTCTGTGACCCAGGATGAAAGGTAAGTGTGGTTCTTAACGGCACTGCTTAGATGCAAAGGTACACCTAAGACATTCCATCCTCCAATAGCTCAACTGTGAAGCACATCAGGAGATGCATATTTGGAGGGAATTTTCTTCGTGAAATGCACTTCCATGGGATTCACACACATCAGAACCAGAGGGGCACCCCGCATGGTCCCGCAGATAGGGAGGGGACACGTACTACTCCATAACCAGGATGACATGGTCCTTGGACTCGAAGGCGTCGTAGAGCTGAATGAGGTTCACATGGTCCAGCTGGTTCATAACACTGATCTCGTTCTTCACCTCCTCCTGAGAAGGGCATGGCATGTTAGTGTCATGGGGGAAACTGGACAGGACCAAGAGACCCGGAGTCCCCGCATCTTTACCTTGTCCTTTGTGCTTCTGGTCTTAATGATTTTGGCAGCCAGCCTCAGGCCTGTTGCTTTCTCTTCACACTTGTGAACCTGGCCAAAACGCCCCCTACCAAAGAGGAGGACAGCACAGCATGATGCACCATCGTCAGCAGGGACCCAGGGCAGTCCCTGCCGCGTGGGCTGTGGACAGTCACCCCAGTGTTTCTCTTTCTGAATTGGAACAAGCAAACCTATGGGTGCACCTGCTGTACCCATAAACTTCTAGCACAGCACTGGTCGAGATGTGGCCTGTGTGACCTGAGGGGGTTAAGAATGTGGGTCTCCGGCTCAGGGCACAGATCTATGAGGCAGGAGTCCAGGGTGAGGCCCTGGAATCTGCATTTTCCACCTGTTCCTTGGGTGGGTCATTTAAACACTAAAATTGAGAGCCACTATTATAGACAACACAGAATCTTTCAGAATACATTTGAATGCAAAAAGCTGGGCTTTGAAAGCAACTGGATAATACAGCCAATGGGTCAGTTACATCAAAATCTTTTTAGAAACTGCATATAAATAAAAGGTAGTACCAATATTGCACATAGACACATATAATCAGGGTACACATTGCACAGTTGCTGATGGAGTTTTTCACAGTTTAGCTTGGCTGTCAACCTGTAGGCACTTTGGAAGACATAGCTTCCGTATGGATATGGCTGTGTGTTCCCCAAAGATTTATAGGTTAGAAATGTGGTCTTCAGCATAGCAAAGTAGGGGTGGTGTGGCACTTTTCAGTTGTGGGACCTACCAGGAAGTAATCAGGTCATTAGGGGCACTGTCCTGGGAAGGAACTGATGTCGATCTTGTGGAGTTCTGGTTAGTTTTCATGAGAGGGCTGTTACAGAAGAGCAATTCTGACCCCTCCACATTTTTCCCAAGCTTCCTGTCTTGCCACGTGACCCCTGCCTCCTACACTTATTCCCACCATGATGTGATGAAGCCAGAGGACTCCTCACCAGAGCTGAGCTGATGCTGGCACCATGATCTTGAATCTCCAGAACTATGAACTAAACAAACCTCTTTCCTCAGTAAAGTACCCATCCTTGGGTAGTTTATTATACTAAGAGATGGATTCAGATAGCTTCTTACCTTATATTCACAAATGCATACTCATAAACAATTTTTAAATTTGATTCGTTTGATCTTATTCCTTAATTAGTAAAGTAAGATAGAACACATATCCTGCTCCATGCCTTGGTAGGGAGTAAAAGGAGAGCACCCCAAGCAGCACAGTGGATGTAAAAAGGCCGCATCCTTAGCACCTTCAGGGTGACAGCGACACCTGACAGATAGGGTGTGTGGTGGCTGCCACTTTCCCAGTGCAGCTACGCACCCAGTGCAGAAGCAGGAGGCTCTCGGAAAATGATGTCAGATTACTGGAGACATAGTTACGTGGTGGCTTCAATTCCAGCCATCATTCCAAATGGAATCTCTAGGGCCAAGGATTTAGCTCAGTTGTTCCGACATCTGCCTTGTAAGCGGAAGGACATGAGTTCGATGCCCAGAACCAGAAAAGACAAAAACAACAACAAATGGAATCTCTACTGGGGAGCATGAATGCAGCCCAAGGGACCTCCTGTGTGACCGCTTATTAAGAAAGTGTTTTTTCTCATCATGAGCAATGGCCTCAGAGTTGCCTGGCCAAGCACAGGTGCCCCATCATGTTCGGACTCCATAGCTACCTCCGCTTCTCTGGGTCTCTCACGTGACTTATTGTGCAAGGACCTTGGATATTGAGGTCAACTCATAGGATTCATACTTGGCCACCAGATTAGTATAACCTCATGCTCACAGGACATGGTGATCAAGGATTGTGATAGTCAGCTTCGTATTGTTATAACAAGACACCTAAGATAAAGAACTTTAAGGAAGAAAGATTTATCTTGGTTCATGATTTTAGAAGTTTCAGTCCATGGTCACCTGGTCTTGTTGCTTTGGGCTGAAGTGAGGCAGAACATCATACATAGCACACGGTAGAGGAGGTTTCTCACCTCATGGTATCAGGAAGCAAAGAGAAGGACATGGGGGAAGGGGAAGGTTCCATTCTCCCCTTCAAGGACATGCTCCCAGTGACCTCACTTCCTCCTACAAGGCCCCACCTCTGAAAGGTTCCACCACTTCCAACAGCACTGCAGGGTATGAGACAGAGCCTTTAACGAGATCCTTTGGGAGACACTGCAAATCCAAACTATCACAGGGATACAAAAACCCTAGGGACCACACGGTGGGAGATGAACCCAGGAAACATCTTGAGAATCCAGGGGTCCTTGGCGTGTTGCAGAATCTCTGCCAAAAGTAAAAGTGAGGCTGTTATGTCTCGAGTCCCCTACCGTGAAGGGGAGCCACAGTGCTTGGTGACCCCTTCACACCCTGAAGGCAACAACGCACCTTCAGTGGTGCTCTTCTAACTCGCTGCTGAGCCAGTTTTGGCTGCCAGTGTTGAGGGGAGCCCAGAAGAAGTCGTGACTGGCCCCAGGTCCGCACTCCAGTATACACCGAGCAGATCCAGTGGTCCCCAAAGAGGCAGAAAGGGACTTTAAAGGACCCATGAACAAACCTTGGCCAGACAAAAGCACAAACTCTGGGAATTATTTCAAAGTTTCTACTGCAAATAACTACTCTCCTTCAGAGAAATAGTTGCTGGCTTGCCACTGAAGTCCCTGAAGACCCAAGACTTCAGACTTCCACGGCACCAGTTCATGTTTTGAATTCACATTTCTCCCTCTGCCCATCCCCACAGTCCCATGGGGAGTTCTCTGAAATCAGCAGCTGAGGAAGAAAAAAATTCAGTGGTTCCATGTGACAGACAGCAGAAGGAAGATGGACTGGGAAGAGGAAGAGGGGACTTTATAAAACTCGACTAGCTACACCCTTAACCAATTGCAGAAATCTGTGCTGTCATAGGTGTGTGTATTTTCCATGTGTTAGTAAGTAAAATTTGTATATATGCATGTAAATTTCCTATTTACACAGACATGCTGATGGTCGTAAACCAGGCTTTGAGTTACAAGATATCATAGAGGGACTGTGAATGATTTAGAAGAGAAAGACTGTCCCCCAGCATAAATTGGTTCCCTAATAAGCCACAATCTTCCTTCTTTAGGGGGAGAAGTGTGCACTTAGATGACCATCAAATAAGTTCTTCAATGCAGAAATGGATCAGTTAAATAGATCATAGTAATCTGTATAGTAACAACAGAAGTAGGAAACCAACAACAATGATGCAAAGATTTAACACATGCTTCAAGAAAGACACAGCACTGACTCATTTCTGTGTTTCGTCTGCCAGGGTTTAAGCCATGGCTCTGGACAGCTTCTGAACCTCCTGATGACTCACATTGGATTTTCTTACTTTCAGACATGACAACATGGGAAGAACCCAGGTAACAAACAGAGTTTAGTCACCACATTAACCTGTCTGGCATCAGTGACAATTTTCAAGAATGGTCAAAATCTCTCAAAATGTTTGCTCATGATGTTTCTATTTCTCAGTGAGACCAGCAAACATGTGTGAGGTCCCCAGGCTCTGTCACTCTGGAGGCCCTCTGCTTTCACTGAAAGATTGTTCAAATGGAGCAGTACTCACCCTCCTAGGATTTCTGTTTTGCTCACGGTATATAAGCTGTTGACCGCTACTTGTTTGGCTGTCACAATACGATGATCAAACGGGGCAGCGGGAGCTGGGATGTCATCTGAAAGATTAAAAAAAAAAAAAAAGAGCTGCTGTCAAGCAGTCTGACCTCTTTCTAGCATCATGCATCGGGCCTCATAGTAAAAATTTGCTCCTTTAATAATAAAATACAGTGTGTCATCTGTTGCATTCCTAAGGTCTAGGAATAGAGATTTCCATTCCATATTGTGACCTGTGATTCATGGAGGTCATATCCAACATCTCTGAGAAAGAATATCAGGACAACTAATCTGTCACCCATACCTTCTCCAGAACCACCTTTAGAAATGTCAAGGGAGTCAAAAATCTCTGACCCCAACACAGTTCAAACAGGTAATACTTGCAGGGGTAGGGGTGTAGCTCAGTTGTGGAGCACTTGCTTAGCATACTGCAGGCTCTGGGTCCAATTCCCAGCATCACAAAAGAAAAATATTTTTCCAAGCCCAAGACCATTTTAAGTCAAACATGAGAAATTATTTGATCCACTCCTTAAAAAAGGGCCTGAATATAATAGTCCATTCTTTTAATCAATGTGGAAAGAAAAAAGGAAAATGAAACATTTCTTCATGTCACTGATATTATATATTACTTGCCAAAATGTTTCAGGTTTTATTTAAGACACTTTTAAGGCACGAAGATGACATTTTCCTGGATGACTAGAAATAAAACACCCAATAAAACTAGGTAAGTGTGTATTCCACAGCTATCAAATTTCTTCCACTTTCCACCTTCCACCGGATGTGTTTAAGCTCAGGTCCACATCGACATCAATCCTAACATTCATAATTACTCAGCAGTATTTCTCCCTGTCTTCCTTTCACTTTCCCACGACTACTGCTGTTGACATTTGCTGGCCATGAACCTATTCATTCTCCACTTATTCACTCATTAAACAGCTACTGCATGCATACACCGAGGATATAGAGAGGGGAGTACAGACTTGACAGCTCTCCAATGCACATTTCTTGAGTACTTATCTTGTTCTAGGTACTCCGCCAAGTGTTAATATCTTTTAATTTGATATTAATTTAACATATTTATATTCAGATAACACAAATCTCTATTAATCTAATTCAATATGGGCATTCACTTGCACACTAGAAATGCACTGAAAAACGAAGCTGTGAGAGGATTCTCTTGCTGGTGTTCATTTCTTCTGACTAAATTTCTTAAGTGTGCTTGAGTTACACGAAGAAGTGGCATCGATATGGCAGTATGTTGTGAGACCAAAAGTGACTCCATTTTGTGAATGTGAGACCAGAATGACTCCATTTTGTCCAAAATGGAGCAGTCTCCTTTGTTCTTTCAAATTAATGATTAAATGTGCTTAATCTGGGACTAAAGACATGATCTGTAACTCAAGATTCCTAAGCTCATGACTCAGCCATCTGTTTGCCCTAGAAACAAGTGTCCCGGGCCCACTATCTATAGGACAACCTGTTCACGTGCTGACTATCCACACAAGGTGGTCATGACCATGAGTCAAGATGTCTGCTGACCATCAGTACGTGAAAGTAGACCACTAACCTTTGTCCCCATTTTTCTTGTAAAAACCTATACGTAATCCCCTTCAACCCCCAATGAGCCTAGCCAATCAAAATTCGACACTTCATACTTGCTAAATGTTAACCAATCATATGGCTGCTAATGACCGAAGCTTGCTGTAATCTCAATAAAAACCCTGCTAATTTGGAACTCGGGGCTCTCAATCTCGATCCGCTGTGTCGGTGACAATTGAGAGTCCCTGCTTAAGCTTGAATAAACGACCCTCGTGTGCTTACATCGGAAACGGCCTCCTGGTGGTCTTTGGGACTTCGTAATCTGGGCACAACAATGTCTCTGTCAGGGTGGTAGGCTAAGAGAAGCCTAGGTGGAATGCTCCTGGAAGAGGCTAAGAAACCCTGAAGGCCCAAACCCCAGCCATCTCCTACCCAGGGGGACCACCAGGTCTTGCTCTCCAGGGGTCTCCACTCCTGTGCGCTCCTGGGGTTTACCCTGTGCGCCCCTCTGGTCTCGGCTGGCTTCTTGCATCTTTATAAACGCGCCCTCTTCGCCCACACCCGCTGCGTCCATCCTGCTCTTCTTGTGGTCCTCGTCCAGGCCGCTCTCCTCCTCTGTTACTCTTCGCTTACTGCTGCCGCCTGACTCTGCCTGCTCAGCGCTCTGGAAAGCAGACCCCGTTGCGGAATTCCTTCGGATTCCTGGTGTAGAAACAGCCTTTACGCTGCTGATACACCTGGAAAATAAAATGTAGTTGCAGGTATCAAAGTTTTAAGGAGAAAATGTCAAAATTCTTACGCTGAAGCTTTGCTGCAATGGCCTTCTGATGTAGAGAGCCTCGGTTCCCCTGCAGAGATGGCCATTTCAGCATCTGGGAATGAAAGAAAAGTGTGCTTTCCCCTATCAAACTAAGTAAACTACCATGTGAAGGACTCTCTAAGAGGCCTATGGTGACCCCTTGTTCCACAAACTCAGCAAAGTGGCCATTGTATGAAAACCTAGCCTGATCTGCATTTCTTTCAGCTGTGTCTCTTTGCAGAAAAGCAGAATGACTGAATGACAGCATAACAAACAAAGCAATAACCGCTCTGAAATTTAGCAGCTATGAAAGAATCTTTATTGGTGGAAGAACTGACCTAATTTATGGTGTAGAGCAGCTCTTGATCATGCTAAGTACATCTTTATACTGAAGGACTTGAATCATCAATGTATACATTTAATTTATAGAAAATTAGATTTATCCAAGACTAGGTTTCAAACATATTATTTTAAAATTAAATAAGAAGTATGTCCTAAATCTCTAACAAAGAACACACAAATGATTGACACACTTTGGTCCAGTTAGAAATTGTGTGTTCATTAAAACCAAAAGCAATTAACTTTAATTGCCTACAAATTTTCCTGAATTTATATATTTTGCATTTAAGGAAGAAAGTCTTTCAGTGATCTATTTACAATCCTGGGGATTGGAGGAAACAGTCAATGTGTCACACATATTGGACTTATGTAAGCCTTTTCAGACTTAGGTTTTTAACACACAGTTAAATCTCATCGTTATTTAATTCTTGACCTCTGGAAGACTGTGTTCTATATTGCTACACAACAAGAACAAAACAATCTTTTTACTTGATCTTTAAAATTATTGACTTACTGGAAAATTAATAATCATCATCTTTATCAATGGAGAGGTTGAAGGGAGGGCTGGGCAAGGGTGAAAAATAAGAACCAAGAGAGACTATGTAAAAGTGCAAATTTCCAATGATGAATGTCATTATATTGTATACCTAAAATGTACCAATGATTAGAATGAATAATCGATAATGCAAAATAGGAAGAAAAGGTCCACAGGTATAGGGGTAGTGGGAGGAGCAGGGGAAAGGAAAGAAGGGAAAGGAAAAATGATGAGAAATGGAAAAAATGGAAATAAAGTCTTTGTAAATAGGGAAGGGTGGAGGGGGTGAAGGGAGGGCTAGGAATGGGGAAAAAATAAGAACCAAGATGCATCATGTAAATGTACAATTCCCAATGAGAAATGTAATTGTGTTGTATACCTACAATGTACCAATAAAAGAATTTAATAAAGTGAAAAAAATAAAATAAAATGAAAAAAAAAAGACTGAAAATGTCTCAGGCAAGAAGAAATAATAATGGCATGAAAGTGTGTCCATAAAAAGTGTACATACACTGAGAAGCTGGATTCTGAATCCTTTCCTTAAAAACTCTTCATTCATCCTTTCATTACGACCTAAAACGGTAACGGCATCAAAACCTATAAAAACACCCATTGTGGGTGGACAGTGCTGTAACCCTACCTTGCCCGGGACTGATCAGCATCGGTTTGATCGGTGTGTTGCTTTTTACTCAAACATTGGTCCAGCACTGTTTTGCTTGTGGTTGCTGATCCTCCTTCCTCAGCTTCCCTTCCACTAGTGTCTTCCTTAGGATGGAGCCCATTTTTCTCCCCTCTGGACATTGGACACTCATTTTTACCCACAGTGGCTTGCTTGTCATCTTCAGCACTGTTATTTTCCTGTTTCTTTAGGCTCTGTGTGCATGAAACGTCTTCTCCACCTGTCTTCTCTCTTGCTTCTGTGGAATTTATCGAGGCATAGTCTTTCTCCTTGCCTCCTCTTTCTGCAGGACAGATGGCAAAGCTGAGCTGAGCTACAGAGGCACTGGTCTTCTCGGCATTTTTCTTGTTGAGCTTATCAACCTTTTCTTTCTCAGAGAAGAGATGATTCTTCTTGGTAGATCTCTCTGGAAGCCACCACAGGACACAAAATATTTTATGGGGAACACATGTGATCAGTTTAATTTTGGCTTCATAAAATAGCATCCCTATTCTGGTTTCTTTTTAGAGCAGATATAAGCTTTTAAAAGCACAGTATGGAAATATGACCAATTGATGGACAATTGGTTTTTGAGAGATTTTCTTGTTTGTAACTGGTAGAACCAAAAGCCAATCAGATAAAGGTATTCACAAAACAGCATTTCTCTCCATACAGGCTTTATGTAATTCCTCCTGAATAACAACAGAATTCTGGTAACAGAACTCTCTTTAACCTTAATTATCTCATATCCTAAGGATATTACCTGTGATGACTGATGTCCTTTCATCTTTGACAAGCGTCCTTTCTTTCAGGCCAGGGTTCAACCATGCCTTCTCCTTAGCCTGTGGATACACAAATAATGGAGGTTACCTATCATACCTGTTTTTCGACCTCAGCACTACGGACAGTTGGAGCTGGTTAATTCTCTGCTGTGAGGAATCTCATCAGCATTATAGGATGTTTCACTGTATCCTTGGCCTCCATCCTCCAGATGCTAATAGCGCTCTTTTCCAGCTGTGATAACCAAAACATATCTCTAAATATTTGAAATGTATTCTCTTAATTACTTTAAAATATACAATAAATTATTGATTATATTCATTTTGTAGTGCAATAGATCTCAAAACCTATTCCACCTATCTTAAACTTTCCCAATCAAATGTAATATTAATAAAACAAAAATGATTCCAGAAATTGCTAAATGTCCCCTGGGGGCAAAATCACACCAGATTGAGAACATGTATAACTATAATATACATGGCAAAATCCCACAAAATTAATAGTCCTGTAGAAGGAGGATCAGTCTGAATTAATAAAACACTTCATAGCCTGCAGTATCTGAAAGCAAATGAATTTATTACATTCAAAGAAATTCTGTACAACTCTCTCATGGTTTGTAGAAGGTGGCCCATCTTCATGAATAGATTAAAGGATACTGATGATGTGTGTCTCATCTTTGACTTATGTTTAAATTGTCTTGATATGATTCACATAAAAATCAAATAAAATGTAAGGATATACATGAGTGAACTGTGTAAACTGGAAAGAAGGAGGCAAAAAATAGTATGCTTTAGTGGAGCTCTTCATTGTTTCCCCTAAGTGGATAAACATTCTTCTCATGATCCTAGAGTCCATGAATTAGTTTTGTAAACCTCTAATGCCATATAAAAGATTACCAGTAGCAAAATCTACCCAAATTTTCACAAATTCCAAAGTTATTCCTTATAAACTAATGAAATTGTAGGGCTATTTAAAAAATATCTTTTTTAAAAAATTTGAAACAATACAACGTGCCCCAGAGTGATTTGCAAACATGAAACACCATATAGCTGCACAGCATAGCTATCAAGACAAATTTCCATTATACTTTTAAATAATCCAAAGGGCAAATCCCATGGGTTCAAAGTAGTTCCATTTTTAAGATGGGGATCTTTCAACATGGAGGCATGTTTTGTAGATCTGAAGAATGCCAAGGTTGGAGATGAGAGCTACAGAGCTTTGTTTTTAAGTCCAAGTACAGAGATGGAAGGAGAAAGGGGCTTCAGCTCCCCCAATGAAGCTGGTTGCTTTTCCTCCTCTAGGCTTGCATGGAACTCAGTATTTGCCCCACCCTGGTTAACCTTTGGCAACACTTTCTTGACCTTTGTCCCATGTCAATTTGCCACCAGACTGCGGGCTTCTAATGTGCAAAAAGACTGGTTCATCTTGGACTCCTCGTACTTAGCCCAGAAAGCAGCACATAGCGATGCTGATAATGAGGATGACAGTGTTAGCACAGTAATGATGCTGATGATGATACTGACACAGGTAATGGTGATGATGGCTAAAGTGTAGTGCATGGCCTTCAAACCCTGTATTCTTCCATGAACTTCACATTATTAACTTGGTTCTCCTTATAGCAACCTGTGGGATAGAGATTAACAGTCCCATTTTACCAATGACACCAAGATCCTAACTCAGTTACTACTTCCAGTCCGTGTTCTTAGTGAGTATACACACTTTACCAGCAATGGCAAACCTTTTAGAGACCTAGTGCCCAAACTGCAACCCCAAATCCACTTATTTATTGCAAAGTGCCAGCACTGCAATTAAACATGAATACTGAGGGTTTCATTTAGAAAAAACAACTGTTATCTGATGCTCTGCTGGGGTGACTGGGCTCCTGTGCCGACGGAGAGGGCTCTGTGTGCCCGCTGCAGCACACGTGGCATAGGTTCGCTACCACTGCACTATACTGTTTTTCTGCAGTGAGATGATAAAAGAATCAAGGGTAAGTTATATTACTAATATTTATTGAGCTATATTATTAATATTTATCTCCTGTGGTGCCAACTATTTGCTACATAGTTGGCACCACAAAAGATAAGAAAGAAGATTAAGAAAGACCAAAAATGAAAATACCTTAGAGGAGGAAAGAGATAAACATTTGTTCATCAAAAGATTAGAATTAACATAAAAGGAAGGAAGAAAAGAGAGAGATTAAGTTTAGTTTTGAAAATACATGTCCAAATTAGTCAACTAACATAATTTCACAAATTGTGTTTATAATATCTTGTGTTTGTCATTCAATGACTTTTTTGAAGTGAAAACTCCTGGTGTATGAATAAGCATTATACTTCTAGATCTATGCTGCAAGGCATAAACACAGTGGTAAAAGCAAAGGTAGCCTTAACAACGAAAACTAGTGTATATCAGTCGATTTCAGTCCATCAATGTATTTAAAATCAAGGATTTGGCTGTACAACTATGTGGAGCACTGAAAGGTCCATGCTTGGCCCTCAGGCTGTGTCAGTGTCCGGGATAAATGTCCACATCCTAGGCCCACATCCTTCGGGGACAGAATCTGACCCAACCACCAGAAGCTGTTGATACTGAGAAATATAAGAAGCCAGCTTCCAGACAAGGCTGCTTTTTCCGGTGGCAATTTTATATATCACATATGTTTTACCATTTGAGTGATGTAAGAAGGTCTTCCTTGCCACCAGCCCTATATTTTCATTTCTCTATGTAACACTGACATCTAGAGGAACTTTGAACTGACGTTTCCCATACACAGAAACAGTATTTGTACTTTTCTGTCCCCAGACAGCAATCTTCTTTAACTTCAGGCTGAGCCCTTTTTACTTTGCATTCTCAAGTTCTGTATAGAAGTTGCTAAAATAGGAAACACATCTTGTAGCCACATCTTGTTTGTTGTCCAAAAATAAAACTTGCTCTCTCTCGACTAAAGTGTGCAGGATTGGTACTCTCAAGTGTGAAGCTCCTGAAATCATTTTCTTCAATACCCCCCTAATGGAAAGAAAGCCTCATCAGGGACTATGCTCTGCCTCTGAATTCACACTCATGGCTGAGAAAAACCAAAGATCTTGCTTCATTCAAATGCATTTGCTTAAAAAATGTTATGTATTTGCAGATGGGTGCCTTTGTCGCTATTTACCGATTCACTTTATAACTTATCAGTGAATTTTGGATGAAATCGGAAAGAAAGGGGACACGACCCCGATGCCTAAATACTCAAAACACAGTTCTCCTCTTTCCGTTTGTCCAGTTTCCTAGGCAGGTCCCCTAAGAGGGGCGTGTGCACCCAAGGGTTATCCATAGCAGTCCTGGGGGAGCGTGACGGAAATGTTCACATTCCTTTCTACTTATTCCGCTTCCTATGGGCTGCATGTCTGTGTGCCCCTGAAGTTGGTGTGTTGCAAACCTAACCAGTCTACGTGCAAGTGGGGCCTTTGGGGAGTGACAGGCTGTAAGGGGAGCCAGTGTGCCCTCCCTGCCGGGGATCTGCGCCCCTGCGAGCAGAGCCAGTGGACAGCTGTGCGCTGCTCCCCACCCTGGGTGCTGCCTGGCCGTCTGCACACCAGGAAACGGGCTCTGTCTAGACATCTGCTCCTTGCACTTGGACTACACAGCCTCTAGAGCTGTCGGAAATAAATGTCTGCTGTTGGAGCCTCCCAACCTCTGGTAATTTGCTACTGCAGCCCAAAGTAATGCACTAATAGATATAGATTCAGATATATAAAAATATATATTTTATGTGTTTAAAAATACATAGGAATAAAACTGAACATGTAGACAACTTTTGAGCTTGTACAATATATTAAATGTTATTCATAAAAATAAATGTACATGTACTGGTTATCAATGTATATAATTTATCAGCAAACATTTTATAGGGTGCCTAAAAGCCTCTTACTAATAGCCGTCCAAAATCAACACCATTTGGAGACCATTCCTCTACATAAAAGTATTTCTCCCATTCTGATTTGCTGAAAATAGGTTTCAGAGAAGAGCCATTCTAATGAACAGGTCTGAGGGCAAGGACATCATTAGAACCATCAGCTCAATACTTGCAACTCAAAGCACTACTTTCAGGAGGTCAGGATTCGTTGTTCTGATGACTGTTATGATAATCTAACCAACCCTCCTCTCATCTCCATTTGTAGCTGTGCTCCTGGCCTCAGGATCTGTCCCTGAACTGCGGGCAGCACGGGTCTGCAGGGTGCACCTGGCTGCCTAGGCATCAGTTTCCTCTCACTCTGAACCACAGTGGGGGAATAACCCAAAAGAGAATTCACAACTAGATGAGCTTGCCTATTCCATCTTTGATTCCCATTCCATAAAAACTAGATTTTAGAAATCCAGGCTACATCAGGGAACAGGCTGCCCTGGGACTCATCCCAAATGCATCCCTGCTACCAATCCTCATATTCACTTCAGTTAAGTAAAGTTAAGTGACATTCACTCCCCTCCATTTTCAGAACACAGTTGCTAGAGAAAACTGTTCACACTTTTGCATATGGGACATGACTGCACTGTGTACCTTGAGTGATGCCTTTGCATATTGCTGCTTATGATGGTGCCGAGATGAACATTTCATGATCACTTTTACTTATGCCTACAGGCATAAAGTGAAATTGTAACAATTTATAATGACTGTTAACCTTTGATTAGGCTCCTAGTAGGGAAGAGAAAAATAAATCCTAAAAAGAATACAAAGAAACAGAATTTGCCAAAGAAATAGTAAAACAATGTTTCCTTACCTAGTCATAAAAGATCATTTTGAGATCATTTGTGAAGTAAATCTATTTCTGCTCATCCTCAGCACACTCTCACATACTCTGTGCATTAAGTGGGAAAACACCCCAAAGTCTTAGGTGGATAAAAGGAATTTTCACAAAGCACAACCTGTCTTGTGGTCTGTGGGGACCAGGGCAGGTTCTGCCTGACTGAATCCAGGGAGAAAATGTTTGGCTGGACCTCAGAACTCAATGAGCGACTCCTCCCGGGCTGCTGATGACATCAAGCAGAGTGGAACAGTCCCCTGAGAAAATAACCCTGC